GAGAGGAGGAAGCTTTTCTTGCACTCAGAATTGTGGAAGGGTTAACCAAGAAAACTTTGAAGTGTTTGACTAAAGCTGTTATCTCCCAGTACCCAGCAGGTACTTGCCAAGACAGAAGAAGGCCCAAAGCATCAGGATCATTTGTCAGCACTTCCTGCCTCCTGCATCCATTCAGGCTTTTGACATCATTCTCTGATTGGTTTCAGAAAGAAGCCCTGTGCAATCTCAATTATAAAGCAGAATAGCTCCAAAGCATGATTCTGTATGTGATTTAGTGCTAAATCAAGAACCTGCCAGATGACAGGAGGTAGTCTCTATTTATTTAAGAGGTAGAGATGAGCAATAGCTCTTCCTGCTGTTTAAGACTCTCTTGATAAGGCCAAGCAGTGAACTGCACAGTTGCGAGGCTCCAGTCCGTAACACTCAGACCTGACACCTCAAGTACTACATTAACGGCTTAAAAGCTTTCAATTTAGTTGCATAGCCAGATTTCACCCACTTCCCTTTCCTCAGATCTACCAATGGAAAGGGCAAGACAGTAACAAAGGGTGCGACTTTTATCAGCTGTAGACTTCAGTATTGACAGGGCAGCAACAGGAGGCTTGGGTTAATTCAATGATCTCAGGCTCCAGTTGGCAATTGCTCACTTTAATACTCCCTGATCAATTCTGTTGTGGGGCAGTCTGGTAGCCATAGGCAGCATTAAAGGACTACACCCCATACAACAGGGATCTAGTTATGGGTTAAAAGTAGGCTCTTCAATAGACCAAAGGACAGGTAGACAAATAACATTCTTACATTCAAAATCCAGTCTGAAACTAGGGGAAAGAAAGGGGGAACTCCTTTAGGATTAGTTTTCCTCCACTCCTTCTGAACTTGGATGATCAGAATACTTCACAAAGGAAACTTACACCTGAATAGGAAAAATCCAGCCTGCTTGAGCAGAGAAAACGCACACAGTGATTCTGATTTTCTTTCTAGGTAGACATTTGCCCAAACAAACAATTTGATGAATACGAACATGAATTTGCAAACTGTTTTGCCCAACCTGAAGCTGCATCTGTAAGAGGTGATGTTTCAGCTGAAAACATTCACTCATCTTCACTGCTGGCTACAGAAGTAGATCTGCTCATACTGCTTCACATACACAAGAAGCATATCACTGCAATTCCAAAAAGCTGCTTGATTCTAGAGACAAACCATAGCTTTTAAAATACCTAACCAAATTTTAGGTAGCTTCGAACGCTGAGGGTACATACATCTAACACTTTAGCTCCTATCTATTCCTTAGTCTAACTGCAGTACATTCAGGTCTGGTGTAGCATTCTTCCCAGACTTGAAGAGTACTTAACCACATTACTTCTGAGCTCTCAATCCTATTCCTCATCTGTAGTCAATCATATTTAAAAACCCAGAAAGGAAAAAAAGTGTCTTAATTAATTATTTTGACACCATTTCTATGGTCTTAAGTAGACAACTTGGTACTTGTTCATACTGATGCCCTACCTTCACTTTTTTCCCTTCCCTCCAGGCCTGCATAAGTAAAGAGGATCCAGAGGATGGATAAACCTTGCACTCCAAAGGTGCAGCAGGAAACAAATGCCCTGTGGCCTGGATCTTTGGCAGAGGAAATGCAGGATGGTGAACTCCATTCCATTTTATGTTCCTTGTCTTCTTTCCAACTGCAATGAATGTACTTTGAAGAATGGCCATGAGGTTGGGGCTTAGTTCTCCAAGTGCCCTGATGAACTATTCCTACCATAGTGTGGTGGTACCAGCTGATAAATGGCACAGGCTTGAAGGCCTCCAGCAGAACATGTTCACCAAGAGCCTCTCTCAAGAGATACAGGCGGAGTCGAAGCTGCTTCCTTGTGCCTTGGATCCATAAAGGAGGAAGCGCTGCATAATACCCTGGGACATTTCATATGTTCTGTAGTTAGTTTCTTCCCCTTCTTTCCCTTGTTCTGAAAAGAGCCTAAAACCCCTAACACAACTTCATGTTCTCCCTGCCTGGCTAGGACTAGGTGGGGTCTCTTTACATTTGAGTTCTTTAGGCCTTTTTTGGGTTTTTTTAAAGTTATAGATGAGAACTCCTCCCTTCTCCCCTGCCCCATCCAGGACTCCCTTCCTCAGTCTCTATTCTTTAGACATGGTCAGCACCTTAGCAGTAGGTATTTGTCCTGGATTCCAGTGTTCAGTGACTTAACTCCTATAATGCTGAACAGCTAAAAGCTAGTACAGCCACAAAGTCTTTACTCAGCATGGAGCTTCGCCCCATTTCAACATGCCAAGCCATTCTCAGAGTAGCTGTAATATACTCTGGGTTTGCCTGTCTACATAAAATTAACACTGGCATAGCCATATACACATCTGAAGCCTGCTGCAGGACACTGGAAGAGGCCTAGTTCTTCATGGATCATAGATTTTTGTACCTGCCTTCTTCACCAAGCAGTTGCTCTTATTCCAGGCACAAGACTGGCACCATCCTGATGGGTTTTCTTGTGACAGGATAATTTTGAGGGGAGGGAACGGGCTGAGGGAAAGGGGGAATGTAAGTGTAATTAAGTTGCATTAATGAGCTGCAGCAATTAATAAAACAATAAACAATGCATTTTGTTAGCTCCATCTCCCAGCACACGAAGCATCAAGCAGAGATGGAGCACTTGTCACCATCTGTGGCATTCTTTGGCTGGTACATTCCAAGTACCATTGTAATTCTTTGTCTTTCCTGATCTGTTTGAGATTACTTGGCATGAGTGGTGCTTTTCAGAAGAACTAGGGAGAGGAGTGACAGGAGAATTAAAATAAATAAAACCATTAAGTACTAAGGTAAAGATGCACCTTTCTTGCAGAAGGAGCCCTGGAAGCAAAATCCTCTTTTATGAACCTAAGAGTAGAAGCACTAAGAGAATAGTTTTTGCTCCTGTGCAAGTTTCCTTCCAGATACCCACTGAAACCCTGACATCCTGAGCTCTAATCGGGTGAAGCTGTGAGTAAATACCGCTTCTGGAAGTATTTTTCCTTCCTTCAGACAGTAGAAGCAACAAATTTTGTTGCTGTGACAACCTTCCTCCTGGCCTGCTTGTGCCAGACCTACCCTAAGTGCTGTGAGGTCAATGCGGTGACCCTGTTCTGGGAAGAGAGAGACTAACATCTCCAAGGTGCTATGACAACAAGGAGCAGCCGAAGGTTTGCTCCAGGGGGTTCCCTTATCTCTATGATCGGAGTGCCCTCTATCGGGGATAGGCAGCAGTTGAGATACTTCCAGCCAAAAACACGTTTCTGAAGGGAAATCTTCCCACAGAAAAAGGCTCCATCCTTCCAGATGTGGAAAAGTCACAATTCTCAAAAGTGTTATATGAAAGAATCACCAGAAACAGCTGGTACAGTCAAAAGCCTTGGAACCCTGGTGATGCTCAGGCAAGATTCCAGCCACACTGAGCTAAATATTAGGAGGAAATAACACTATTCCAACACTGAGCTGGTTTTGTTTTCCCTTATCACATTAGCACCTCTGCTTAAACTGGTTTTGTTATTTAGAGGCAAAATAAAGCCAGTGAGAGCCTGAACCCAGGCACAGTGATGCAATTCTGCTCCCTGTGAAAGCTGCTGCCTGGCAAAGACCCACAAATTAATTCCCCCAAGAGCTGGAGAGTTCACACTGCGCAACTAGTAATTTCTCTCCTCTTTGCCAAGAGCTGCATTAATATTACCTTCTTTGGAAGGCAAGATATGTCCTTCCACATGGCCCAAGGATAACTAACACCTTAAAGGTACTCAGCAACAAGCCTATAACCCTGTTGGGTATCCAGGCCTGGAACCAAAGAGAAGTAACTCAAGAGGCAGTGTTCCTGTCTCCACAATTGTGTTTAAGAGCCATGTACCAAAACTCTGCATGGAATTCAGATGCAGAATTATTCCCCACTTATACAGTTTTATGTACTCCTGCACCCTTACCCCTTCTTTTGCACTTCAAGTAGCCTGGAGGACCCAGATGCTGCCTTGTGAATGCCATAGGAAGCTAATGGATGGTAGAACAGTTCTCTCACTCATGCCCATCTAATACTGAAGGACAGGCAATCTACAACTTGATACTGCTGTAACATTTCAGGACACCACCACACTCCCTCCCCAATAGGGCATTATGTTAGAATCAGATACTTGGAGCTCTGCAAAACAAAAGAATAACTTTATTTCATTAAAAAGAACAGTTAATTTTAAAAACCTTATTTCTTTTTCCCTAAAATTACACTGTACATTGACAAAATTTCCTCTTGATTATATGGGAGAACGTTCTATTTCAAACAAGAATTATCAGTTTAGTCAGCAACTAGAAGTCCTATAAAGGTAAGTTTGCATAGTTAACTTCTATGAGGATAGTACCCACCAGACAGGAAAGAGCTCTAAGAAGCTCCCAGGAGATCATCTAATGACCCTGATCAAAGAGGCTGTCATCTTCTGCCTAGGATAGCCAGCTGAGAGTAAAGAGGCTGAAAAGGCTACTACAGGCCAGGTTTTTCACTTACAGTTATGCAGATTTGAGTACTATTGAAGCATTCTGTCAACTGTTGACAGTTCAACAAGGGTGGGGGGGAGACAGCAAAGAGCTCAGAAGGAAAAGCTAAATTCTCCTTCCCACATAATACACGGAGACTAGAACACCCATGAGCAATGGAACTCATTGTGTATAAAGACACAGCCATTTGACTCAGACTGGGTGAAGGAAGGCACCAAAGCTAGCAAAATAACCTCTGAACGACTGCTAAGCGAGTGAAAAAGAACCAGAGTCTACTGAAACCAGCCTCTGATTTCAACACAGAGCGGGGATTCATGTGAGAATGCAAGAATTTGGAGAAGGAGAATCCGTCAACAAAAGCTTCTTTTTGGAGGACAAAAGAAACCAGCAGAATTTTTCTGGAGCAGTCCTACAACAGGATTAGCACAACTACAGCAAATGAGCAGCTCTTACTAGAAACACTGCGCATACATAGGAGGCACATTTGATACATCATGGTTCAGGACATGAAAGTCCTCACTCTGTCCTGGATGACTGCTCTGCAGATAGGACATTTCCTCAGATTGAAGGCACATTCCCTACATGCTACCAGATGGCCACAAGGAACAAACACAACTGAGGCATCTTTGTCCAGGCACACTTTGCACATCCTCTCCTCTTGCAGGCGTTGGAGCTGTTTTTCCATGCTCAGCCGAAACTCATCTTTCCCAAAAAAAAGAAAGAAAAGCCCAAGCTTTAGTATTTTAGCAGCCCCAAAGGGACTATCCTGACATCTTAGGCAGTCACACTGCAAGTGGCTTAGCACTTCACTTAGAGACTGACTTAAGATGGCAGAAGTACCTCTCACACAGGCTTTGTTTAAGCTGTAAAGCTACAGCTATTCTAGAGTCTGGTTTATCTACACATGATCTGTCTCTGCTCAGTCCAGCAACATGTTTTACCACCGTGTGTAAATTAGCCTGATAAACTGAAGTTTTAATACAATTTTCCATCACAGTGGAACTCTAAACCCTAAATAAGGGTCTCTGCTCAGTTACCATTCAAGTTTGCACACATTTCCCTTCAGCATTAAAATCAAATATAACGATCACTAATACTACTACTAGAAAACCCATCCCACTGTGCCTAGGCTCAATTTCACCACCACTGTCAGCCCAGTGCACCTGATTCTCTCTGTTGCACAGACTGCATTTCTTCTCTTGAACTTGATGCTTCAGCATCTCCCTGAGCAGCACCTGTATAACCAGGAAAGAAGATGTCAGTGCTGTTTACAAAGAGGAAATACTCTTGATTTTAGTAGCCCCTTTACTCTGCTGTTAGCTTCACACAGAGCCTGGTGAAGGTGTTCTCTGTGGTGCTTCCATCACTATGCACACTTAACCTCCCTCTACCAAGACATGCCCACATCCTAGTTTCCTCAAAGTTGGTTTATCTATCAGACAGCAGGAGCCATCAGCTGCTCAATCCTGCTCCTGTGCTACTATTTAATCCCACTTCTGGTTTGTGGAAATTTGTTTGGGGGTTTATTTTTCCTTTAGCTAAAGAAATAGCAGACCGTGATATAGAGACAGGAGCTTTGCAAATCACACTTTCTACCAGAGAAAGCCTGTGTGCAACTGCATCTTCAAATAAACTTCACTTGGCTGACTCCACAACACAGGTAAGACAGACACAGATAAGAACAACATATATTATCTAAACAAATACTGCTATTTTTGATTAAGTAACTGATTCAGTTTTAGATAGGGTCAGAATACTTATCCAAGAGGTCTTGCTTCAGGCAACTGCATCAGGAGTGAAATTGCACACAAGCTTCCTCTCTGTCTGCTACAGCAAGCCTAAGGGCAGCAGAAAACACTGAGGCTATCTATACTATAGCCCACTGCAGGCAGATACAGTTACTGGTAACTCCAGTAATCACAGCTCCCTCAAGTTTCTTTAAAGCAGAACCTCATTCCCAGCCTCTCAAACAAAGGCAGGCTTCTACTCTTAATTCCAGTTTAGGAAGAGAGGAGGCAGACCCACAAGGTGAAGTGAAACAGAGGTTAAGCACTCCCAGGAATGTGGGTGTGAGGCATACCTCTGCTCTCTGCACTGCTGCTCTTCACCCTGACTTCCTGAAGCACATCAGCAGTCAGCTCAGACCCGGAGACGTAGGAAGCCCCAGTCATCATGTGTTTATTCTGCAGTACCTTACACATGCTTAAGAGGTCAGACCTCAACTCAGTGAGATAAGAGATTATGAGAAACTCATCCAGGTAGTGAAGAGCCCGGTCCATCAAGCTCTCCAGAGCTTCTGTAAATCAGTGAACAGATACTTTAACAAAAAAGGCTGAACTTTGAGGAAAAAGTATCTGAAGTGTGAAGCTGTTTTAAATCAAATGGCATTAATATGATCTGGAACATTCCTCAAGCTATCTACATAGCTAGAGCAACATCCAGATTTAGTTTTTACTTCCAAACACAACTCACAAGAAAGTCAAAAGGAATTTCATCAAAGGCAATAAACTAGTTTTGGATGGTTTATTCTACTGTACCAACGAACCAAGTCTCCCATGTTTGGCCTCTGTCTAGAAGCCTTATCTTTGTTTTCACATCCCAGAAGTCTCAAAATTGCTTTCATGAAGATGAAGTGGAACATCCCAATTGAAATACCTCCTACCTCATATCTAGCTCAACCATTTATCAATAGAGACAGAAGCAGGAAATTCAACTGTCAGCCCACTCAAAGGACTCAGTCTTTAAGCTCATCCTCTTGGATAGGTTTTCAAGAGGATGAGGACTATCAGTTTTCCACGGTTATGGAAGCCAAATTTCATCTACTTCAATTCCCAGGAACAATTGATGAATGCAAATAATCCCCAGGATCAATACTTTCATGAACAACCAGACTCCAGCTGTTCCCTGGTCTCCTAACAAAGATGTTTAAAATGCTGTGGTGTGAAAGACTATAGATAGACACAACATCAAGAGTATGTACAAGTCAGGAAGGTTAGGCAAGCACCCAAAAACCACATGACTAGAATACGTGTTGGTTGTCTTAGACTAAGAGGTCTCACAAGAACAAGCAGCTTTACTTTTGTGCTAGAGACCATTTCCTAAGAAATAAACTGAAACAGCTTCTAGAACATCAAAACATCTCACAAACACCATGTATACAGAATGCATGGGGGGGGGGTTGAAGCAGGACTACACCACTCTGAACAGAAGACACCACCATGCCATTACAGCACTGACCTTGGTAAGCGAGTAGAACTTTTCTAGTCTGAGCTCTGAAATCTCTCTGAAAATGATAATCACAAAAGAAGCATGGGTTTAGAACTCCCCCTATTTACCAAATCCCCATATCCACTACACACAAAAGTCTTGACTCACTGGAACTTGGGTGTTAGAAAGGGACTCCTGAACACTGCTAACAAAGTCTCTCCCCCTTGACTGCAATAAGAATTCACACCTGTAAGCAGAAAGATTGAAACACATTAGTACAGGATATCTCAAGCAACAGGAGTTTGAATTTTAGAAGCAAAGGGTGCTATCAGGTTATAAGCAAGCTTCTATATTCATTAAAGATGATGGGTTTTATGGGTTTTCCCCACTCCATACATAAAAAGCAACAGTAAGAGGCTCATAATTTCCCCCCTTCTTATGAAGGAAGAAATCAGTGTGGAACACATGGCATATCTTTTGGTATTGCAAAAAGAGACATTTGTCAACCAAACCTGACTTACCCTGGAAACAATCTGGCATGCTCCTGCCAAGGATCACTTTCAATCTGCCAGTTCCTCACACCTCCATTACAGCAGAAGCACCTCACTATACCATCTTGTCCTGAAAGAGACATCTAGAGATTATTTGACATCCGAGATGCTGTATACTCTACTAGCCCTGGATGAGAGCCTGGGGAGGGATTCAACACAAAACACAAGCTACTGGACAGAACAGATGAGCACATCACACTTCACCAACACTGTGCAATTTGATAGGGCAGGAAATCTGATGAGAGTTTGAACTCCCAGAGCTGCAGCTGGTTCAGATGATTCTAGAGCTGGGTCACAAGCTAACAGGCAGCCTGCATGTGAGCCCCACAGCTCCCATGTATGCACACAGCTATCCAATCCCTTCATTTAGAGATGTAATTAATTATAACTATACTCATTTCCTCACCACAATCTGCCATAACCAGCAGCAGGCATAGCCCGAAGCAATGAAAGCCACAGTTAAGCGCTACCTACAAATGACCTGCCTCAAGGGCAATGGAACAACAACATCAGTAAAAGCCACCACTGAGTCTGAGTCACAGACATGGTTTTCCAAACACTCTCACCTCAGAGCACAGTTCGGCTTAACTCAAGTGCTCAGTTCCAGAGTTCTGCTCAAGTGACCACAGGGGAGTGCCTTGTCACGCTGCTGCTGCCTAATGAGCCCCCAGGGTCAGGCTTGTTGTGCTTCAACAAGCATTCAAGGTGTTCAGGATGAGGAGGTTGGTTTCTGCCGAGGCATCTTTAGTTTATGCACCCTGCCTGTCACTTCCTTCCACATCTCAGGCTGATGTGTAAATACAAACAGATTCTTCTATACAGAAGTCACACAGAAATATCACTATATCAAGCAGCTTTCAAAGAACTGAAGGGTTCCCCCAATATATAATTGCAGTCAAGCATTAATGTCCTGCAAATATTTCCTCTGACTGGTCAGTGCAAGGACAAGCACTTCTACAAACCTGTTATCTAAGCAGCAAAGCCTTCCCAAGGGTAAAAATAATGATATACTGATATTCAGATGCATATGATAAGCATTGCCTATTTTCCTCATAAAAAGGACCTTTGCCATATAAATCCAGGGTTCTTACAGCCAGTGACAGCCAAATGGTCTGACTTCCTTCAGGTCTGGGTTTTTTGAGAAGGATTCAGTTAAAGACAAAGCTTACACAAATGTTATGGTTTAAACACAGCACTGCACCAGCTACCAAGAAGGAGAAAAATGACTTCTATTGCTGAACCCAGGACAACAAAACATACCAAGCGAGTGCTTCAAGTCCTTTTAGAAGTGCAAGTAACAAATAGGCTCAATAAATCTTAAACCACGCATTTTTCTGCCAGTAAAGAACTGTTTAAACCATGCAACTTTATCTACTCCTGCTAGTTAGGGAATTGATTTACCAGTGGGCCCTTCAGTACCCAAACAGGAGTTAACATAGTAGTAAATTCTACACAGGCAACAAATGAAGCAGCATAGGCTGAAGGAAGGATGGGCTAACTATGCTACACACACTTGCAAGTACTTGTACGAACAATAAAACACAACAACAATTTTAAAAGTTAACTTGGATCAAAGTTGAACACATTTTTGCCAGAGCACCTACCTGTGTAAAAGAATCCTGCTCTAGCTAGCGCCCGACAATATACAGCACAGTATTGTGGGCAGTTCTGAAATGTCAGTAGTCTTGCCTCCTCTGTTACCATTGCTGGGTATTCTGGCTCATGGGGCAGGGCTGCCTCCTCACTGTCCATCCCCTGCAAAAGGCTGACGACCTGCCCATCCACAGTGTCAATGGTTTCCTGGAGAGGCAGCATCTCTTGGTTCCCAACAGCCTCACCACAAACGAACTTACAGGAAGGGAAGAATTTCCGGTGTTCTGCCATTGGGCAGTCACCAGGTGCCCAGTCCTTCAGGATACCACTACAGCAGAAACACCGTACTTCATCTCTTGGACCAACATAGAAAAAGCCAGCCTTGGCCAAATCTTGAGCGGATACAGGTGAGGTTGATGGCCACTGCCGAAAAGTCCCCAGTCTTCTTGCTTCATTCCTCATACTCCTTTTAAACAGATGGCAAGAAGCATCCCTGGGCACTGTCTCCTTTGCTGGTCTCCTGTCCCCCATGTTCCTGTTCTGAAAAACAGGAGGAGACAAGCCAGAGCTGTCAGCTGAATTCCCAGTGACAGGCAACACTCACCCTGTGCTATTTGTTTCTCATCCCCATGCATATTCCAGAAAGCTCCTGGTCTTGACAAAGCTGAGCTTGTTTGGGAATTGCAGCCCAATGAGAGGTCTGGTGCTTCTGTACTTTGCTGAGCCCTCACTAGTGTCTGAGGGGAAGAGACCAGAGCTTTCTAAGCCCCTCTGCCAGCTTACAGGGGAGATGTGTGCAGGAACAGAGAGGGCAGAACCTGTGCTTCCCCCCACTTGAGCCAATTCAGCTTCTGGCATCTATCTGCATGATAAATCCTCAGCCCTTTGCTCTGCCTTTAACATTAAAAAGGCTTTGCCTTCCCCCCCCATCCCAAAACCAGGTTTAAGCAGACATGCCATAACAAAGCAGGAAACAGCCACACCCAAACATTACATCACATCTTAATGTTGAGCTTAAAGCCAAACACTACACAGAGTATCAGTCCATTTTTCATAATCTTGTGATCATTAAGCAGCGAGTATATAGAAACAACTCTATAGAGAAAGAGCTTCTCCAGGATGCAATCTGAAATAATTCAGTCCAGTTTCTATGAGGAGGTGCCCTTAAGTCAACAATAAGACATTTCCTGCCTGTTCTGGTTCTGTGCAAGAGAGTGACTTAAAGAAGTTACGACTGCAGTTATCCAGCTCTCATTCTACTCAAGGTAACAGCCAAGTAAACCAAGTTGTAACTATTGCTTCTAGTCCTTTCTAGGTTTAATACACTTTCACAGGGCCATGCAATTACACAACAGTCAGGATCAATTTAACTAATGACTCCAAAGGAATTCCTCTGCAGTGAAGTCACTGCACATGTGATTAAGTGGTAGGTGCAAACAAACCCAGTTTTTTAACTATGGGCCCTGAAAAAAAATCCCTTACCACTCAACTCAATAGGTCAATTCACCCAAATGAAGCACTACATACCAGTTATAGAGCTAAGCATTATAAGCACATAGACCCAAAATATCACATAGGCAAATATACATATACACAAATAATATATACACACTCTTCAGATGTTATTCAAGCCTGGTGCACCACATAGTTGCATAGGTAGCTACCTATAGCTAACTCTACAGAATAGGCACACTGTAAAAACCAATCTGTATAGCAGCTACTCTGCAGTAATCACAGTCAGAGATATTAAGTGGCTCTCAGGCCAGTAGCATCTCTGAAGTACTATTTCTCTTAGTTAAGTACTGCAGTACACTTGTGGGGGGAACTCCCACAGCATTTTAGTTGCAAGGCCTGAAACCAGGGTTAAGAAATCCACCCTCTACAGGTACTACTACATGGTTAGCAAGATGTTAAAAGCAAGCTTGCTCAACCACATGCCTCTCACAGTAAAAGGCAGCAAGGAAAAGTTCAGTAGCAACTCAAATTTCGTTCTATCATCATAGCTACAATGACAGGAAAGGAAGGCCCTAAGAAGTTTTAGAAACCATGCTTTAATACAATAGCTACTCAAGAACTATTACACTGGCATTGAAACATATAGAAAAGAAAACCCATTAGTCTCTGATACACAGCAGGATTTGCAAGCTAAGCAAGCTTAGAAAGATGCAATATTTCAGCCTGCACTGCAGATTTTGATCTCAGAACACAGAAGCAGAGAGACTTCATCAGGTACAGCTCCAGAGCATTAGTGTTGCTCTCATAGGCCCTAATAAAACTAAAGCGTTAAACTGTAAGAAATGCCACTTTCCACCTCAACAACTGAGTTCTTAGTCCCCTACCACTTAGTAAATGGACATCAGAGCAAACTTCACAGAAAAACACAAAGAAAGTAAAGAAGTCTTCACACTTCAGAGCTTAACAGCTGAACCAAGTATTTTTAAAGTAAGAAATGCAGCACAAAGGAAAGATATCTTTATGAAAAAATACATGATAGTTTGCTTGCAATGAAAGCATTCACATACTCTATAGAATACGCATTAACTTGACAAACAGGGCTCTCCAAACCAAACTGATACTTTAAGCAGATACACTGCTTCTAGAAGCCAATATTCTTCTACAACCATTACTTACACCTACATAGCAATACATCATCAAAGCACAAGAGCTAATATCAACAAATCCCTAAGATTAAGGGAAAAAACAAAAACAAAAACCACCAACAAAACAACCACTGAAAGCATTTACCTGCAATATGCAAAAAAAAAAAAGGCACAAAGCACTTCCAAGCTCTCCTCTCAACAAAAAGGTACTCTTCCTCAGAGAAGCTGTAAACCCCTCTAGGACACAAAAGATCCCAACTGACCCAGAGGCCATTTCTAGTGCTTCGTTTTCCCCAATTGGTTGGGGCTGTGCTGAAATTCTCCATTGGCTGAAGAGCTCAAATGTCATCATTAGCAGTGGGAGTCACCAGGGAGTATCCTGGATCAATTCTGTTGCCTTTGTTTTGGGAAGGAGTGCTCTTTTGCAGCTTCACAACTTGAAATCATTATATTCCTTTGTCTCCCTGGGGTCCCAATTCAGAATGAAGGATTTGAGGGTTAGTTCTGAAAGTTGTAATTACTTAAAAGTATGTTTTCCTTTACCACTTGTCTCCCTGAGAAGATGCGTGTATCTTCTACATGCTTGACAAAATACAAGTTTGCTTTGCTACTGTAAGAACACAGGTGGTTTGTGTTTGCAAGAAGTGATAAATAAGGGCTTTTCCTTAAAGCAAGAAGCTCCAGGGCTGGTTTCTCACAGACAAACCTGTACCAACGTTTTAATTAAAAACAAATACTGAAACTTGTTCAATTAACTCTGTTTTATCAAAAATCCCTGAGCAGCAGAGGGCAGTGCTCATATGCAGAACTTGGTCTTGTAACAAGTGAGTGTGGTTCTTTTTTGCCTGTAATGAGTTTATATTTAATTGTACATTATCTCCTGCTCCACAGATCTTGTGCTTTATAATGTTATATTGGTTGTGCAGGAATGGATCTGAAAAATATAAGATACAGAGTTAAAACCTCTCTTACAGAAGTTGTCTGGGGCCTCTGCTGAGGGGTTCTATTGAATCACCTGTTAGTAGGTAAGTGATTGATAGTTCTGATCTTGTGAAGCATTTTACAAGCAATACTGCTTACAACCACTTGGAAATCAGGAAGCATCAACCAGGAGCTCAGGACTGATCAGTAATGATGACCAAAAGCACCATCATGATGCCCCTGCATGAGAAATGTAGTAACTTTGACATTGCTGAGCTCCTTTCAGGCATAACTGGAAACTAACACTAAACAGTGAGTTGAAACTCTAAGGAGAAAGGAATGTAAATGTTATTAATCAATGTTTGCTAATATCAGCATTATTCGAAAGGAAAGTGATCAATAAATACAAGGAGGATAGCTGGGGGCAGCATTATAAAGAGCTTGAAAGGGTTGAAGTGACTGAAGTCCCTGGAAAAGCTCCAGCAGAGTTCAGCATCAATAAGCTTGAGGTTCTACACAGCTGTAAGGGGATGAAGTTGCCCTGTGTGATTTAGCTCAAGGAACACTATTATGCTTTCATCAATAAACTAAGAGTGAATAAAAAATTCCTGAGGAAAGTGGCTTTTATAACAGGGTTGATAAAAAAAGGTGTCAGTTGGCATTACCAAAGAAGCAAAGAGGCTGGAAATGCAACTAGAGATGCCACAGCTTGCCATTGCTGCAACTGATGTGTAAGGGGATTGGATATCAAGGACACTTACGGCATTATTCCTATTCCTACTTGCTCATTACCACTGTCAGGACAAGGATCCATCTTTGAGAATAAAACATTCAGGCCTGATGACAGAATTGCTCTCAGACTGCAAGAGAGCAGACAAAATCATTACATCTGTAGCCACAGAAGTAGGTGACTGCTGCTGTTTCTCCATTTAAGGCCTTGCTTTTCCTCTTCTAGCTGCCTCTTCCCTGTCTGTTGTCCTTCATCTTCCTTCACACTGACTGGCAGCAGCGCAATGCCTGCACTCTGCAGCCCTGCTAAGAGCTGCTGGCCTTGTCCTCTTCAACAATAAAACCTGTAAGAGTGTCTCTGTGGAAGCTGCCTTCAGTGCAGCCCAAAGGGAGCAGAGCTCATCGTTCTCCACTGACACAAAACTCCAGGGCACTCATAAACCCACCCCTGTGGGCAGTGATCCAACCCAGTGAATAATGATAACCACATTAAAAAGTGACTGGTCACACCAGAGACGAACAGAGTCATTCCCTTAGGGCAAGGAAGGCTCACTTTGCTTTTTCCTCCTGCTCAAGGTCCTTTTACTGCAAAGGAATGCTGCTGTACATCTGAATGGCTCTTCCATACCTATGAACGTTTTACTCCTTGTGCTTTACTCAGTGGATTTGTCAATAACAGTGACAAATTTAACACATTATTAATGATTTAGTGCTCCAACCATTGGCAATCAGTAAATCAGGAAGCCTGAAAAATGTTGCTATGAAGTAAATACACATACTATTCATATATACTGCCAGAACTGATGCACAGGTGAGTAACAGATCTATGTTTTGTAAGGTGATGTCCTAAGGACTCAAATCTTTCAATCTCCTCCCCTAATTTTTTCTTCTGACCTCCATTACCGCAGCATTTGGTCTATGTATTGTGATAGGAATAGCATTTGGTTGCTTTGTGGTGGTTTATGTATTGTAATAGGAACAGCTAAATGTAGCTGGCAACATGATTCATGAAAGTGCTTAAAATCAAATACTATTAATATACCAGCCCACAGGAGCAGAACACAGCACGTATCAAAAGAAATATCTGCAAAGCATAGCAGATATGCCAAAAATCAATAGAAGAACCACCCTTAAAATCCTGCTGTGATCTGAGAAAAAGCAAAGTAACATTCTGGTTCCTTGGAAGGAGGAAAATGAAAGTGTTTCTGCCACAATGCATTACTGTGTTTTAGATTGTTCATGACTTCACAATTTCAGTGTCCAGCTTATTATACAAAATCTTTCTGCTACAGAAGGTAGAGTGGGTTGAAAACTGGTCAGTGCTTTTTTAAAATGCAACTGTTTGTAGTAAACAAGTTTCATTTTATTGGCTTTATTTCATACGGCTTTTGGAGCTGAAAAATCTGAGAGTTTCTTATTCAAGGGTCATTTTTTCTCTTTATTTGGTTTTCTACCCCTTCTTGCCTTTGCCAGTGAACATCACGGGGAAAAGACTAACGGATGTTCCACCATTCAGCCATTAATTACCTTTAAAGAAAGATTTGTCAGGCATTGTTATGACTCTAATGGAGCTCGTCCCACTTTTTAATTGCTGGAAAATCAGCCATCAAGAAACATGGAACATCTGATTTTCCAATAAAATTCTGCTACAGTTTGAAATGTGTTTAATTGCAGAGGGATGTGCATGGCTGCCTGAGTATTGCTTGGACAAAAGGCAAAGATCTGTTCTTGAGCTACTCACACTAGCAATCATCTGGTTCTCTCCATGCAGATTGACTCAGAATAGGTTTAGTTTGTCTCTGTACCAATAATCAATAGTAAGATTGACAGATGAGGAAGAAAGACAACAGTGAAGGACACTGCAAAATGCTGAAGTGAAAAATGGGTGACTGTATTCTAATGAGTAGCAAAGACAGACTCACAAAGACCTTACGATGTAATGGAAACTACATGATAGCAGCAAGAAAGAGTTGCCAATGACGAAGATCAAGGAGACACGGGGGAGTCCTTGTGATCAGTTGTTGCTCTGCTGAGGTCCTTGCTACAGCTTTTCAATGAAGTCATCTTGCAAAGCACAGCAGGGACAGCGATGGTATCAGCTGGTATCTGTGCACAAGCCATGCTCTCTGCATATGATTTCACTTCTTCTTCTTATGTTTTCACAATGTGTCAGTGACATGAAAAAAAGGAGAGAAGAAGAGACACTATGTGTGTCTGCCTTTGTTTTTCACCCTGAAATGATGGAAATCAGTGTTGGCTCCTTGCTTTGGTTACATTCCACGGAGGTGTGAGGTGCAGCAGGGAGATGGTTCCAGCATGGCAATGTTTGATTTTACTCACTTGCTCATAACAGAGGGCTGCATAAAATCCCTGTAAAATCTAAATTAAAACCCAAAACAAACAAAAAGAGTATTCTGTAATTTACACATGAAATCCATACTCCTGAAGTTTCAGAGTGCATTAGCAAAGGAAGAAAAAGATGCCCATAACTTTTTCTTATACTAGATCATACCACCTTATTTCTCTCAACAGAGCCAAAACCAAACAAAAACCTGTGTTATCCCCTAGGTTACAGAGTCACACTCCAAGAGTATCTTCAGTTGGTATAATTCTGAATATTGCCTTATCTATATGTCATTTTATTGGGTTTCTTTCTAAAAGACTGTGATCTTGTCAGTGGACAGACATGATCATTTTTAAAGTTACCAGGGAGAAGCAATAACTCACATTGTCCTAATGCAAAAGAAAAAGATATTCCCCAAACCATAGCCTTAGGCATACGTATATTGATGTGCCTGACATGCTCTGTCTTTGACTCTAAAATAATGGGTACAGCCTAATAGCTGTACCCCACACCTTAGGATGCTGAAGCAAATCCAGTTCTAGCATTCTGCCCACATACACTCATGGCTTGGATGATTCATAGTCACATAGTTTCTATATCAAGACTAGTGAACATACACAATCACATGGACTTCAGAGCAGTGCCCATCACCCAAGAACCCAGGACAAGCCTTTCCCTTCCAGGCAGATCTTCCACTCCCTAGGCATGTTGCTCAGATTTTTCTCTCATTTGTTTTGGAAGCACTGCTCTATGTCAGCCTTTAAGCTCATTCAGGGACTCTCAAGAGGACACATCTGCTTTGTCCATAGCTATAGCATATGGCAAATAGAATTAAGATAACACAAACCAATTATTACTTGATACCTAAGCCACACAAAGCATCCCAGGTGCTGAGGATTAATGCATTCCTCTTTCTTCCTTCTCTCTGGATGACTGAGCAGGAAAAGGACAAAAGTAAACAGTCCATTTCACGTATTTTATTAGAATAGTAAATACAAATTCAAACCAACAAGCTCCAAACACGTGAACACAGGGAAAACTCTGCTTTTAACTGCATCTAAGGACAGGATGATTGCATTGTTTAGTACCTTTTGTGAAGATGAGAATTTGCCACTTTTTACCCCCCAAATTAAGCACTGAGGTGGTCTGAGTAAGATTTTGTGACTTTCTGGAACTACTGTTTGGTATGGCGGAGTCTTAACTACTTTGATCAGGACTCTAGTTAGTTGTGAATGCAGTAATGAGACTGGATACTAGCAGCACACAAGTTGGTACTAAGCCTAGTTTGGGTCTCAACTTATTACCTCAGGTAATCACACAATATATAATACACATGTTGAAAGCCTGATTTTGATTCATCTTTCTCTCAAATACATTTATAAATTGCTCATTCCTAGAAAATGTAACTAGTGCATGTTTGTGTCAAGAAACTAAACCAAGAGGTGTGTTCAAAGCCGAAAGAACTTACCAAACTAAATCTCTGCAGGTATTTTGATACCTTCAAGAGACATTCAGGTTTCCAGCCAATTTAAGGACAATTATTCCCATTCTCCAAGCAGATGTCAGATACCTATGTAACATGTTAAAAGATAATCTCAGTGATATATTATTGATGCAAATGATGTTACAAATCCTTTTACTGCATCAATTTCCAAAGGAGTCAAAAGAAATTATGTTCTGCAAATTGCACTGAGCTGCTGTCATCCAGTACCAGTGTTGTGCAGAAGCACTGCAGTGATATTTTCTTGTGTTGTGGTATAAGAGGCTCCCAGTGCACCAAACTGTCACTGAGCACTGAGTGAATTATAACGTACTATGCTTGTAAGTCAGCAGGACAGCGAGGCCTCCAGGTGTTACCATAATACAAGGAAAAACACCTTGACTGTTGTTTCAACACCAAACATTTCCTTAGGCAGAAGCTCTTCCCTGTGAGGGTGCTGAGGCGCTGGCACAGGGTGCCCGGAGAAGCTGTGGCTGCCACATCCCTGGCAGTGCTCAAGGCCAGGTTGGACACAGGGGCTTGGAGCAAGCTGCTCCAGTGGAAGGGGTCCCTGTCCATGGCAGGGGCTGGAGCTGGATGAGCTTTAAGGTCCCTTCAATCCAAAGCAGGCTGTCAACCTATGATTCTATGAAAAAAATCCCTAACAACCCACTGTGTACAGGGGGGAGAAATACAACCAGTAATGAGGTAGAATTCAAAGGCTAGAAATGAAAGAGAATTGCTTTCAGTTAATCTGATTTCTCCTTAAGGCAGCCCTTTCCAAGTGTTACAGACTGAATTTGGGCATAAAGCAGCACTGGATGGTTACACCTCGGGCACTCACTGCTGGTTCATTTCCTTCCTCCCTCAGAGGGGCACACATGAAACTGAACAGACTCCCTGAAACTTACAAGGCTACTTCATGGCCCTGCCGAAATAAACATGAGCTCTGCTAACGGGTCCAAGATAACACTTAAACTCTGCAAAACACCAGCTATACGCAAGGCAAAAGGTCTTAACCTCACAAAGTGCCGCCAGCATCCAGGCTGCTTGAGACCCTCTGCCAGAGGATCCCAGTCGCAGCTACCGCGGGCTAGGGCCCGATCCGAGCCGCCTTCGGGCTAACTGTGAGGGGAAGACCGGCCTCCCTCACCGCCTGCGGCCATGGGTGAGCCCTGACGGCGAGCTCCGGGTCTCAGGAACCTGCCTCCGGCCCCTCAAAGGCCGAACGAAGGCCGGTGACAGCCAAAGGGCCCGCCCGTCCCCTCAGCTGCCTCCCGCCCGCGCATGCGCACCACGCGCCACCGCTCTCCGCGCGCCTTCCCCCCCTCCCATCCCCGCCTGCGCGCGGCCGTGTTTTCCCGGCGTCCTGCGCGCTCTCGGCGCTGACGTCACCGCACCCCGGCGCCCGCCGCCATTGGAGTTGGAGGCTCCGGCTCCGTCTCTCGCTGCGGCCTCGAAGGCGGCGGCGGGCAAGGCTCCGGGTGGCGCGGCCCCGGGGGCATGTGAAGAGACGGGGCCCGGCTGGGTGTAGGCGAGAGGAGGCGCGGTGACCGGCGCCATCCCCCGGACACTCTGAGGAGGCGCCGAGCGGCGGCGAGCGCGCCAGCGGCCCCTTTCCCTTCCCCCTCGGCCCCTTCCCCTCCTCGGCCGCCGCCTCAGGGGTGAGGCACTGCCGCTCCTCCGCCAGGCCCCGGAGCTCTGCGCCGCGCCGAGCGGCCTTGCCTTCACCCCCGTCACCCTCCGGCCCTGTGTGCTGAACCACGGCGGCCCTGTACATGAATTATGTCTGCCACAAGCGTTGACCCTCAGGTAAGTGGCGGGGCGCGGCGCGGGGCCTGCCGCCTCCCCGCCCGGCGGCGGGGGGTTTCCCGTGCAGGCCGGTGCCTGCGTCTGGTCCGGGCGAGGCTTTTTTTCTCACTCTCGGCTTCACTGGACCTGAATCTTCCTCTTAAAGTTCCTCCATGAGCGCAGCGCGTTCCCACAGCCTTTAGAGAGTCGTGGCCATTTGTAAGTGCGGAAAGATGCGTGGAACATACTCGCGTTTAAACAAGCCTTGTGCTGTGAGCCATTTTTACGAGTCTCCGACCTCAAAAGCTCTGTGTTTTGTGGTGATGATATAAGCGTTTTTCTGAAATAAACTTTTATTTGTCTTTTTTTCTTTTCTTTTTCTCCAATCATGTGCCATGGCTTCCCAGAGACCGAAAGGACAGGATAATAAAGGTGAGGATCCTGCTGAGATATGGTCGTTTCAGTTGTTACCGTAATAGATGAATTATGCAGGTGCCTGTAGGTGAGCAGTAAGGTACGGCTTTTAGTCCATATGGATAACATCTGGAACAAGGGAAGTTGTGCTTTGTTTAAAAAACCAACATGAACTGTTACTCATACAAGCTTGATTGCCTCCTACTTACTGCTCCTGAGCTAACAGTGGGAAGGACTTTGTGTTGGTGCTAAACATCATAATGCTGTTCATTTCCTTAAAATAAAACAGATTTCTACATAGAGTCACAAGGACATGCATATTAAGTACATAGTTTTACATACTTTGCATAGTTCCTTCCTGCTGTATGAATACAGTTATGTTACTGGTGTGCTGTTCACTGATAGATGTGCTAGGCATACATAAGCCTAACAAACTTAATAATTTAGAGAATTTAAAGTAAATCATTAACTTTGATAAGATAATAAGCTTATAACAATAATGCTTCATTTTAAATTAAATTTAATAACAGGTCATCTAAGAGACCTGTGTGTCTTTTAGACATGCAGTTTAACCTGTGTTAACCCAAGTGTTAGCTGTGATTGCTAATGGGTATGTGACTCTCTAGAGTTAGCAGCTAACAGTATTCAACTCCTAAAAGCTTTTTAACGTGCCTTAACCTGCATTAAAAATCCATCTGCTACCAGTTACAGAAAGTTTGACGCTATTGCTTGTGTTTGTAAATACTGTTTGACCTCTACTTCCCCTGACAGACTTTGTAGCTATCATGGTCAATTCCCAAAGTTGTTTCTTGTCAATTCCCAAACATCCCATTTGCTGCAGTGTCCTGTTTAGTTCAGCTGCTCTGTGAAATAGGTAAATAAAGCAACTGTCACATAATGTGTTTGACCTGATTTCCTTAAGTAAAGCGAGCAAAAGAAATGATTTGAAGTGATGCAACAACAGTTTTTTGTATATTTCAGTAATGGGTTTGCATGCTTCTCACACAGGGTTTTATGCTGAAGTAGACGGGTATCTCTGTTCTGCACATGAGAAAGCGAAGACATAGATTTTCCTGAAGATGTCAGGGTGCTGAGGCACTTAACCATTATTTCATAATTAAATGTAACCTCACCTCATCTTATTTTACCCCACTTCACTTAAGCAGTGACTGACACATGCTGGCAGAGCTGTTAATTATTTGCTGAGAGTTCTAATTGTGGACCATAACAATAGATGTTATTTCCCAATAATCTTCACAAGATTTTTGTCAATAATGATCTCTTTTGTTCAGAGTCAGTTCACACAAGTTGTCTATTCACTTCTGACTGCAGAATTTTATTTAGTTTTAAATTTACTCAAATTTGTAAGCAATAATATAAAGAGCAACTGTTTGAAGGGGAAATGTCATTCTTTGTTTTTTTTATGAGCCTTCATGCTGTGAAGAAGAAATATGGCTTTTCATAAAATAACACAGGGTGGAACTCTTTACTGCAATGCTGTAAACAGTGTTATAACATGTTGTAACCTTTTTCTTCTAGTACAAAATGGTTCGTTACATCAGAAGGATACAGTTCATGACAACGATTTTGAACCTTACCTTTCTGGGCAGTCAAATCAGGTTAGTGTATTTTTAACTCAGTTCTTTTTTTTTTTTTTTTCTTAAGCATGCTGCTGGCACTCAATTCATGGGATTGTGTGGAGGGAGCAAATTCCTTAAATAGAAATGGAAAAAGAAATGACAAGCATGTTGTGTTACTTGGTAATAAAACTAGCATTTGTGCTCACAAAGCTAATAGTACTTGGCATATCCAGATGGCCGCAAGTGAAAATGAAGTTAATGCTCCCAAGTAGTGTCTGTTAATTGTGGGTTATTGATGCAGTTGGACTGTGACAGACTATTTGATCTTACATTTATTTGATAGATGAATTGTGTGTGGGAGTATGAAGGTTCTGCTTTTGGGCTCTCCTGATTTGTATAAGTCTAGAAATCAGTGCAGTTGCAGTTTGTGTTCTGGGGAGTTTGTGGAGTGGTCCCAGTTGCTTTTCACACTTCAGCAAGTATTGTTGTTACTTCATGGCCTCTTAAGAATTAAAGATGTGTTATTTTAAGAGTAAGGTATTGTGTTGTAAACTCAGTATAATCCAACTCATTGTCGTGTACATTAAATCAACAACCATGACTTAAATAGCATTATAATTGAAAATATCTTCTAACTGAAATAATTTTTGACTTATTCACATCTTTAAAGTGAACAAGATGTAAAGAAGCTGGAGATGCAGAAAACTCTTTTATGAATATGAAATACCATTTCAGAAAGAGACCTCCCAGAAGTGCCTTTTCTTGGCACGAAGTCAAAGTATTATGCTTTGAAAGGGACACTTGTAATTCAGCCTGATGCTGAGAGATGCCAGTATTAATATTGGTAGCACCACTGAACCTGCTTGCAAAAGAAAATTATATGGTAAAAGAGTCATGTGGCGTGCTGTTCTGTTTCATTGGTGGAAACTGATTTAATCCCAAAGATAAACACCAGAGCAAACAGGATCAGTTGGTGTTCTGTGGATTGATTATCTTCAGGGTGTGCTGAACACCTCTTTTAGGGCAATTGGATAGATGGAGCTGGGTGACCAGTTTGTCTTGGATCATAGCAGGGTACAGACTGTAGTGCAGTATCTTCCTTGGGCTTGTTTCCATGCTGGAAGCAATGTAGACACAGCGCTGTGGAAGCTGGGACACGTGTGTGTGACAGCATGATCTGTCCTCTGTGCCAGGTGGGTTCTGGCTCCCAAGCTGAGCTTCATAGTCATCCGCAGCATAAGTGTGATCTCCAGACTTAGACGGTTAAAATGAATGGGAAGCATTCCCGCTTCTCTGGAATTAATGTGCTGTAGCAGGTTTAAAAGCACAATATTTATGGGGAAAAAAGAGCGTAAATTTTTCTTTTCTAATGCAAAACTAATTTTGAAAGAAATTGATGTTTCCACCTTTTTCTAATTGAAATTCTACTTCATCACATGTGAATTGTTTTTAATTACTTAAAACCAAGATACGTTTTCCTGATGTGAAACCTACTGAACCTCAAACTTCATATAGGAAAAATGTAGAACCATCAATTACGGTTTAATTCTAGGAAATCTGCCTTGTCAACAAGCCCAATTATTAGATTTAAATGGAAAAATTGCTCTGACTCTTGGGAAATTCTGTGATTCTAACGAAGTTTTCTTACATGAAACTGTAGCTCCACTGACCGCTGCATTTGTGCTGCAGTCAGGCACTGGCATAGAAACAATATCATAGAACACATGCTGCAAGAAACAATTGTGTAGGTTGTCTTCTGAGTGGAAAGTGACAGTTGCATTAATTGGGACTGTGAGATTTTGTGCTGAAGACAGCCATGGTTCTGAACAAAGCCTGATCTAGTTACTCAGTCATTTATTCAGGCCTTTAAAACTACTGGAAAATAGAAGTTACTTACAAAAAAAAAAAAAGATTGGAAAGCAACTGGATGTTAAAAGAAAGTACATAAGAAATTAAAAAGGTCCTTAAGAACGTGTTTGACATCAAAGATCAGATGTAAGCTGGTAATCTTGTGTTAATTCCAATTTTTAGAAATAAAGGTTAGTCTCTAGAATGAGTATTGAACTTGCTATATAATGCAGTAAAACGTAATATTCTTCTGTCTTTCTGTTGGAAACTGCTTCTCAATAGTGATGGTGCCTTTTCTTTCCATAAAAGCTCTAGTATCCAAGCAGCAGTAGTTAATACAGATCCAAAAGCAATTTTAAGGCAGAGGGAACAGAGTGGAGTATTTGTATACAAAGTTCTACTCAAAACAGGACAGGCATCCTGCATGTAACATCATTCAGAACCAAAAGGTTGCTGCTAAGGAACAGGGAGTTACTAGTGAGTAGTGTACTTTGGGAGAAAGGAGGATACCCTTCCTGGTAACAGAATGGTTGGGGTGGCTTGTTGTGTTGTCTCTTTAATTAAGCAACAACAGAAATGCAGAAGGGTGCAGGAAGGTCAAGGATAAGTTTGTTGAAGGAAATGTTCTGCTGTTGTAGTGAAGGAGTTCTGTCAGGTTTCTTTTTACACACTCTGGCATAAAGCCAGTCAGAAGAGATGGACTGTTCTGTAAGGATGTCTGCTGCAACTTTCCTTTAATCCTGTTAGAATCCTTGTGGAAACTTTACAGGCTGTGTGAGAGGAGGTGACAGTCTTAGGAATCATGTAGAATTCTTTGCAGAAATACTGCAGGAGAAGACACCTGCCTTCTCAAAGCTTCTTCTTTTGGGTCTTAAATCTATAGAATGTATGAACATAAAATCCCCCAAACGACTTAGGGCTTCTATCACTTGTATTTCTTTTTACATCTTTTCTGATATTAAAGGTATCAAGACATAACATGTAACAATCTCTTAAAGTCTTTCAGAGAAATGTTTTCCATGCTAAATATGAATTATTTAACTGGGGACTGCCAGAAAACTGAATGTGTTTCAAAGGATTCTCATAGAAAGGTGGATTTTGTACCTCTTGTTAAGGATAGAATTTGCACATAAATAAAGGCACATGAACAGTGGCAGGGATTGTTTCTTTCAATCAATAACTGGATTCAGGCAGTTTAAATCTCAGGTGTTTGCAATGCTGTCTGTGATGGAGGCAATTGATGGTGTCATTCTGGATATGGAAAGTAAAGATCTTGAACTGGTCTGGCTTTAGGGTGTCATGGAAGGGAGTCTGTGAGAAATGAGCAGTGGAAATGACTCAGTTGGGTATTGTGCTGATCTGCAGCAAGGAGGGGTTTTTACTTCATTTTTTTGAAGGAGTTGAGAAATAATCTGATTTTTTTGGAAAAAAATACCAACGTTCCAATGCAGTTTTCCTGATTTGGTGGAGATATCCGCCCCTCCCCCCCCCCAGTGTTTGAAGTTTTGCAGCTTGAAAGAAATCTTAGTTCCTCCTCTTCAAATAATCCTTTCTCCATGAGTAAGGAAAGGGTAGCTGCTGTTTGACTCACAGGAGTTGTTGACCTTCCCTCCCCCTCACTGGTAATTACAATTAGAGTGTCAGTTTGGAAGGTTTCCAATATATATGTGCTTCAGGTTTATTTAAAGAGGAACAAACCCCATTTTAGGATATTCTGTATTTGTTCTTTTGCATAGTTGAATATAAGAAACATATGGAATGCTTCAAAAATCAGGTGTCAGCAGAAGATGCAGAGAGGAAAGAAAAGCTGCTCAGCTTGGTGTGAGAAACAGTTGAAAGGCAGGAAATGCTGGAATTACAGAGGGGGATTTGCTGGTTTATAACTGCTCAAGTCTTATTTCATGGAGTGGAAAAGATGGGCTCTTTGAAAGGGCAGTCAGGAACAGTTTTGCATGTTTATAACTTTACTGCTGAGGGAGGAAGAGACTTTTGCAAAAGGCTGAATGGGGCCTACCTCAAACAGTTTGGGTGGCATAGAGCACCTGCTGTAATTCACATGTATTTGTTTCTAGTCACTTTAAGTTCAGTTTGTAGTTGTTGGGTCTGCTTGGTGTGTGATCTCACTGTGATCCTGTCTCTGTCAGAAGTAGCCTTTGCATGATTTACTTCAGGAATGTTTCACTTGCTGGGAACTGTTGCCCCCTAAAAACAATCTCATAATGTGGCCTGTAATAATATTTTCTGTTACGTGTCTTGTCATATTAAAGTAATTTAATCTAGAGCTTCTCCCATGTGGCAGTATAGGAATGCTGGACAGCCTTAGTTCTTTGAAACACAAAATACAGTGTTACAAAAGTTCCTTGAAATATTTTGGGGTATTGGTAGATTTAACAATTCTAGAAGGAGCCACTAAATAACCTTAGCAATGTCACTAAGCTTACGTGGCATTAGAATCTCAAGCACTAACCTCATTGGGGTGTGTTATAAATGCCCAGATACTGCAGCTTTCCTGGAGTGTGAGCTAAGATCTGTAGTTAGAAATTAAATTACCTTGACTCTATTTTCTGTTTGGTGATGAAGAGTGTTGTGGCTGTTTATAAATAATGGGGGGTTTATATCTGAAGTTACCTTTGTTTTTGTTTTTTTTTTTTTCTTTAACAGAACAGTAGCTATCCATCAATGACTGATCCTTATCTGTCCAGTTATTATCCACCATCTATTGGGTTCCCCTATTCTCTCAGTGAAGCACCATGGTCTACAGGAGGAGATCCTCCTATCCCATATCTCACCACCTATGGACAGCTCAGTAATGGAGATCATCATTTTATGCATGATGCTGTTTTTGGACAGCCTGGGGGTCTGGGAAACAATATCTATCAACACCGGTTTAACTTTTTCCCTGAAAATCCTGCCTTCTCAGCATGGGGAACAAGTGGATCCCAAGGACAGCAGACTCAAAGCTCAGCCTATGGGAGCAGTTACAGCTACCCACCTAGTTCACTGGGTGGTACCATTGTGGATGGACAAACAGGATTTCATAATGACACGTTAAATAAAGCTCCTGGAATGAACAGTATCGAACAGGGAATGGTTGGACTTAAGATTGGTGGTGATGTTACAACTTCAGCAGTGAAAACAGTAGGTTCTGTTGTTAACAGTGCCGGGATGACTGGTGCCCTCTCTGGTAACGGTGGATCTAATGTAAACTTGCCAGTATCTAAACCAACCTCTTGGGCTGCTATTGCCAGCAAGCCTGCAAAACCACAGCCTAAAATGAAAACAAAAACTGGACCTGTAATCGGAGGAGCGTTGCCTCCTCCACCTATAAAGCATAATATGGACATAGGTACTTGGGATAATAAGGGTCCTGTGGCAAAAGTTCCTGCCCCCCAACAGATACCTTCTCCTCAGTCTGTTCCACAGCCACAGCAACCGATTGTTCAGCCTGTTCCAACTCAGCCTCCTCCATTGACTCAGCCACAGTATCAGACCCCTCAGCAGCCACCCCAGAATCGCTGGGTAGCTCCTCGCAACAGGAATGCAGCTTTTGGCCAAAGTGGAGGAACTGGTAACGACAGCAGCTCAGCTGGGAGCACCCAGCCTAACCCTGTACCAAGTGGTGAGTCCCATCCTGTGCTTGAAAAACTGAAAGCTGCTCACAGCTATAACCCTAAAGATTTTGAATGGAACCTTAAAAATGGACGTGTGTTCATAATAAAGAGCTATTCAGAGGATGATATTCATCGTTCCATTAAGTATTCTATTTGGTGTAGTACGGAACATGGCAACAAACGCTTGGACAGTGCTTTTCGGTCCATGAATAGCAAGGGTCCGGTCTACTTGCTGTTCAGTGTCAATGGCAGTGGACACTTCTGTGGAGTAGCAGAGATGAAATCACCTGTGGACTATGGCACCAGTGCAGGTGTCTGGTCTCAGGACAAGTGGAAGGGGAAATTTGATGTCAAGTGGATCTTTGTGAAGGATGTGCCCAACAACCAGCTCCGACACATCAGGCTGGAGAACAATGACAACAAACCCGTTACAAACTCCCGTGATACACAGGAGGTGCCCTTAGAAAAAGCAAAACAAGTGCTTAAAATTATTGCTACTTACAAGCACACGACCTCCATCTTTGATGACTTTTCTCATTATGAGAAGCGCCAGGAAGAGGAGGAGGTGGTGCGGAAGGTAAACTTCTTAAAAAGTTTCTTTTATACACAGATATGGGGCAAATGAAATGTGAAGGCTGTTATGGTGGAAAAAATGTAAGTAGGAATTCAGACTGCTTTTAATACATCTCAGCTCAATGGCTTTATGTGTGTTTAACACCACAAGAAACAAACTGATGCTTATTTTTCTGTAACAGTTTCATAGTGAAGGAGTTTCAGAGCAGTAATGCAGTTAGGGGCTGTTGCATCCAGGTTTTTGGGGTTGGATTTATTTTTTTATCTTGAAATGGTTAATAAAACTGGGAAATAGTTTCTGTTTCACAACTGGATTCTGCCAGATTGTCATTTAGTTTTTTTTGTCTCAAATATGTTTTCACACTGTTTTGACTGGAACTAGGCTGTCAGAATTGATACCTGTATTGGTATTTGCAATTTGCTTCAGTGATTTGATGATTTACGTTACCTTTAAGAGCAAGAAACCTGATCTGTTCAGTTGATCTCTCTGAAAGAGTTCCATAAAACTGCAGTAGTGCTAGACAGATTGTGTTTCTCCTTCTGAAGTAATGTATGTTATTATTTGGGTAAATAAAGGTTTTCATTTCCCAGGTCCAGTCTGTCTGATGATTCTTGAAGTTTAGACTGAAGACACAGTAAGAGAAATTTGGCAGTAACTAGAAACTGTAGTAAAAACTTTATATATACTTTCATGGCTCTTAAGTCTGCCATCTGTCCCTATCCATCCCATGACCTCAGTTTCAAGAATGCCTTTCTCTAATTAGGCAGTCTAGAAGTAATGGAGTGACAAAATAATAGGTGTTGGGATGTGTAGCTACTAGCTAAGTAACACTCTGAGTTGCTTTATTTGACAGGCTAATTTAGTGCAGTTCACACTGCTTAAGCAAAGACTTAATGCATGTTGCTGGAGCTGAAATTGAAGTTGCCATTTGGAAGGTTTTATTGCCATTTAGAAGTGCAGATAAATTGCTTTAAAGTGTCTATGTAGAACATACCCTTAAATTACGAGAGACGAGGAGATCAGCGTCTTAGGTACTTTTTAGCTCAGCTTCTCCCAGCTCTAAGATTTGCTGCACATAGAGTACCTCATCAGGGCAGGAGAGCTTCAGATTTGTAGCTTTTCTTGAGTACTCCCTGTGGGCTTCCACTAGCTAAAACCTAAAAGCCTTTGCTTCAATACTTAATTCCTTCAGTAGAAAATGTGCGATGCAACCTATATGAGAGAGGTGTTCCCTTCTGTAGGTGAGGATCTCAAGCCAAGGCCTGGGTTCCTTTGTCTAGTGGTTACAGTGTGTGTGGTGTGGTTGTTTTGGGGTTTTTAATGATGAGTCTCCCTGTGATTTGCTGCCAAGTCTGGAGGAGAGAGTAATGTGCATGTTTAAGGAGTGAGAGTACTGAGAATGTGACAGCAGATCTGGTCTTGAACAGTTAACCCCGAATTGCCTTTGTAGTAGCTCTGAGCTGATGTTCAGCTATTGGGCTGGTCCTGTTTTGAGTTGTTCCAACATACACAACAATTTCCCACTTTCAGTTCAAGTGCTGACACAATGCTCTTACCCAGCTCACTCCTTTATCACAGGAGCAGCTTTTCAAAATGTGTTTTTTCTGCCTTGTTTAAAACTGAGGCTCTACCATGTGTGACTCGTTCAGAAAATCAACTGTGAATAATGTAACATTTCTTAGATCCCTCCCAACAGTTTAGGAAATAGGTCAATATGCAGGTGATTGAGGTACACTGAGGAGGGCCATAGTGCCAGAGAGGTGAAGCAATTCATCACTGAGGGAATGTAAAATAAGATGCTGCTTGTCAGGGTGCAGTCTATAAAACTATTGTCTGCAGAAATATTTTCTGCTTCATCAAGTAAATGAATTTTAGAGTCTAGCTGTTGACTAAAAGAGGTTTTCTACAGGATATTCGCATGCTTCAATTCCTTCTTGGTGAGAAGTTCGTGCTGTGAAGTTGAAACCTTCCTCTTATGCAAAGTGCACCTTGCTATGGCAATAACTTTAAGGTATTTTATGACCTAAGTGACATTTTCAGATGGTTAACTCTAGAGGTGCCATCTGAACTGGGCTTTAAGTTGCTGTGGTCTTTTGTTCATTATGCTCTGGTTAGCTGTAAAGTTACTTGTTGAAATTTTGTTCTTCCATTTCACCACTTGTGATTACAAAGGGCCAGAATTCTTCAAAACCTGCCCATGGAGAGCTTGAATGCTTTGATTTTATTTATACACACTTAGTAGGAATAATAACTTCATATAATCTGTATAGTGTGAGACACCAACTTTTGAGTTTTCCTCTTAAAATGGTTATTTGTTACTGACCAGTGTTTCCTTAACTAATGTGAGCAGAGTGAACTCTAGTGTGTGCTCTCCGAGTTTACTGATCTGGGAACCTCTGTTAACACCAGGTCGTCAAATGAGGATTTGGCAGGAGTAATGCTGGAGGAAATTCATTCAAGTGCCAAAGATTCATCAGTGTTAAGAGCATTGCTTAAGGGCTGTGTCATCATCTTGAATTGTGGGAAGATTTGGTTGTATTGTGACGTTAAATCCAGCTTTTGATTTGCCATCTTAATAAACTATTTGAGCCCACTCTGGTGACCCAGAACCTGGGAAGGGAGTGATAGAAGGATATTGTGTCTGGAATGAAATACCAAATAATGGCATGAAATCTCTGCTGACCCTTCTCAGGCAGTTTCCAGGGCCACTGCAGTGTCCACAAAGTGAGCAACCTCTGTGATAAAAGCTTGTGCTCTTCAAACATAACAGGTTGCAAGGTGTGTGAGAAAGCTTCTTCAGAAAGAAAACCCAGTACAATGTGTCATTAATTCCTCATATTCCCTAGAGGCATGCTTGGAAAAGAAATTTGTTGCAGGTTTTGGTGGCTTTAGTTGCATCTCCTGTGGTGGGACAGATGGACTAATGTACTGTCCACAGCTCATCTGCATAGGTCTGTAAACTGGTCACAGCTACAGGACTGGGCTGCTGCTGCCACCTCTGGTCTGTGGCAAGGCACTCGCTGTTCCAAGTTCTGCACGTGGTAGTATTGGGAGAGCTGCACGGTCTTGGAAAGCTCTTGACTCACCACTTTTAGCTTTTTTCCTTTTGGGTGATTGAATATTGTAAAGTGTTAACTAGTGTGTGTTGGCACTTAGAAATACCCATTTTCTTCTAGTACTGAGTATTTCCTTTCAGTGTGCTTTCTGTGAACGCATTCACTGCTGCAGAACTTGTAAGGGTAGAATATGTCCTTCATCCGAAACTAGAGTTAAAAAACATTTCTGTCTTCAGGTTAATACTAATTGTGTTTCCTGATATAAATAAAACACTTTGGTTTTGTCAGAAGGTGAATGCTTTCCTCCCACTGACCTTAATAAATAAAGTTTAGTAGGAAAGTTAACCACTACTTCAAGACTGATGTGAAGGGCAGAGGAGTTTGACAGGGATGAGTGTCTCCAAAATCGAAGCTTCTGCAGGTTGTGTGAAACCCCATTTTTCCTGTGTCTGAAGACTACACACACTAATGTCATGAAGGAGAAGTGTGCAGCACTGAGATGCTAGAATTCCCTTGGAGAAGAGAAACTGTGAAGGCTCAGGATGGATCTTCAGAACCAAAATGAACACAAGATTTGTTAGTTGCTTATAAAACTGTTGTTGCTTGCAGTAGTGCTAAATAGCAGTAAGGAAGAGAATGAGAGTTGCAGCTTCTGAAAAGCAGTCGTGCTCAAGAGCACGAGGAGTTGTTGCATCAGTTTCTTCCCTGTCAGTTTGTATGTGTTCACTTTAAAAGGAAGATGCAGATTAGCCCCTTGGGAGTGAAACAAGGAGCAAGGCAGGAGGAACTGCTCGATAACCCGCTCAATAAATAGCACTTTTGACTGAGTTATAAAGCCTGAGCTGAGTCTCTGAATGCCATGAACATACCTTCTAGGCACCAGGTAGAAGTCTCAGTGCCAGTCTGTCTTCTGGTTGTGTGGGACTAGTCCAGGAGAGTGGAAAACTTGGATGTTTTTGAAGAAAGTAGACTTCTGCAAATGGCTACATAGAAATGTTAAGGAAGGTGGCAGTGGGAAAGAAAGGGCTGATGGGCAGTGAAGCAGAGGAACATTTGCCACCTTAGAAATGGAAGTAGGGTGGAACAAGTACTTTGTTAGCCTGAAAATGGGGTTGGTACCAGGCAGCCGTAAGTTCTTTTTCACTAAGAACATACACCTCCTACTATGTTCTGGTACTCTGTCACTAAGATAGGACTTTTATTGGCAGCTCATCATAAGTCAGTAGTTATAGGAGGAATGTAGATTTTCAAAGCAAATTACAGCACTTTACATGGTCTATTTGTTGATTTGGTAAAACAACCATTTAATTCTATCTTAAATCAAGGATTAAGAATTTATGCTAGACTTTGGTGACTTAATATTTCAGTTTTCATAATAAAATTAATACTATTCTGCTGGAGGCAGAAATCAATATATTCCATTATTAACTCTTCTGATGTTACGGTGTGGCCAGCTGAAGCAGCAAACACAGCCTCTCACCTGTATCATGTTTGGTATATTTGCAGCTAAGCTTTCCAGTGCCACAGAAACAATTTGGAAATGAATCTTAGATAGATTCCAAGGAAGACCTGAAGGTGGTAGTTTAGGAGTTGACTGTGGTTTATGCCTTGGCTGTTCCACAACTTTCTTCTTGAAATAGGATTTGGTGCCATGCTGGTGCATTCCAGTGCAGTGCACAGAGTGGTTTTTGCACTATAAAGTGTGTTTGGAACACCATTGGGATGATGTGGGAAGCAGTGAGGCTGAACCCTTTCTAATCAGTCTGCTTGGTATCTTATTAGCTAGAAAACACACTGGCTAAAGACAGGGCAGCATAATTTACTGAGCTTGTCTTGGTGCCTTCTGCAATTTATGGGGCTCCTGATACAGTTACCACGTCCCTCCTGTTTTGGTAACTTGTTGCTCAACACGTCAGTGTAAGCCCTGTGCAGGGCTGCTACAACTCTAAGCAGGAGCATGGCTGCTTGCTGCTGGTAGCACAGCTCACCCAAGTGAAGAATTACCACAGGCAAGGGATCCCTGCCTGTAACCCTGAAGTGAGCTTTATCTGTCTTCAGGTTTTGTGGTTAGCAGGAACTTTGAGAGACTTCCAAGAGCTTCCTGCCTTCCATACTGGAATGCTTTTAGGGTTGTCTAGTTGTGCTGGCTTTTATCAGACCATGCAAAAGCACATCACTTTTCTTCACATCCACCTGATGCACTTTTGGTTTTTCCCATCTTAAGTGTTCTGCAGAGCCTCCCAGAATAGGTAGGGAGAATTAGGAACAGAATTTCTAGAGAGCTCAGATCCCTGCTTTTATTGAATGGGACTAAACTCCAATGTCATACGGGTGCTTCAAAATCACAGCAGTTCTGTGGAGTTCACCAGTCTACCATCTCCTTTCTGCTGGTGCATTGGTTGTAAACTGCTCCTGCGGTCATTAAATTAGTCCAAAAAGTAGAAAATTGCAGTTCCTGTTCCATTTAGGAGTGCTGATGTTCCACGCTTTTCTTACTGTGACCTTCATGTGCTGTCAGTGTCTATGCAGGTATTCCTCCAGCTGTTCTGCTTGAAGCTGCACTTAATATTAAAGTTATCAAGTCCTGGGGTGTGTCAGGTATATGCAATGTATTTCTAAAACATAGCAGCAATGATTTAAAGTGTATAATTACATATATTATAATTATATGGGATCATGTTAGTGCTGTTACACTAAGAGCTTTTTGCTTGCTCATTTGACTCAAGTCTTAACTTCTAACTTTTCTTCTCTTTGCAGGAACGTCAGAATCGAAACAAACAATAAGAATAAACGCATACAGTTTGATATATATACTAGAACTGAGACTAAATTCGACTATGAGAAACAAAATTAAGTCTGCTGGTGCTGTATCCTGGCATCAGGACAACTAAAGCTTTCAGCTCCAATATATCTTCTCGTGCAGGGGAAATTAAGTTGTCGCATCTTTAAGTACATTGTAGTTTTATTTTTGCCCAAGTGGATCTGCATTAATTTGTATCTTTTTTTTCTATGTAAAATTCTGTAGAAATCATGAATAAAAGTGTGTCTGTTTTTATTTTTTTAAGTTGGTAATAACAGTTATATGAACCTAATGTGGACCTAAACATGAGCATACTCAAGTGTCAATGCTTCCCAAAGACTTCCTTTTGGCACAAATTATGTTCCTAGCCAGATATAGAGATTATGGAGAATACATGACAAATCTGCCTTTATCCTCCTCCTCCCAAACCCTCTTTTTCTTCATGGCAGAAGAAACAATGCATTGATTTTTGTCATTGAAAAGGAAACTTTTAGGATACTGCACTACTGAACTGTGACCTGAAAGGCTGCCCTTTCAGCTCACTCTGTGCAGCAGCTCTGCCTCTTTCTTTACCTGTACAATTACACTTGGACAAATGGCTAATGCACCACGTTGGTTTTTTTCTTGTCTAGTGGCAAATTCAAATTGTCAGTGAAATTGTTTCTCTGGAAAAGACTTCCCTTCCCCGTTCTGTTAACCAGTGCTTCAGTGTGCATTTGTTCTACCATATCCTGCCGAGGGGGAGCGCGACGCTTTCTCTCCGCCATTCTTCTGCTTTACGGTTTTTGTAGCTTAATGAAATGATAATGTGATGCTCTCAACATTGCAGGGGGTTTGGACAATGTGTTGAAACCTGTTTCAGCTTTCAGGTGTTCTTAGTTAATTGCAGATCATTTTTAACCCTTCCCTTCATTATTCCCTCCCCCCCTCCCCAAATCCTAACGCCATTTAAAGGGGTTTTTTTATACCAATAATGCTGAGCTTTAACGTAGGAACTAATAGTACGGATACTATGATGGATTATGCCTCAGATGTTTAAAATTGACAGTGTGTATGTCTAATTTTTTTTTATTTTTTATTTTTTTTTCTGTTGGATGAGTAAAAAAACCTGTTTTAAGAAACTGAATTTGCTGTCATGTTTTTGTGGAGTGAGGGGACCGTCGGAGAGCCTGTCACCAGCTGGAGTTCCAGTTAAGCATGGAAATGGTGCTCATGTCCGCTGCTCTAGCACACTGAATCTGCACGTGTTTATTGTAGAGGATCTTTTACTATATTAGAAAGCAAGTATCTTCTGAATACTATTTACTCCAAAAGGACCTCCAATTTAAATGAAAGTTTAATTGTATCATTTAGACTTGTATTTAGAACGTATAACTCTGTCTCTGGACTGTTACTGCCTGTAAGGGGTAATGGACAGCATCAGATTAACTTTTTCCTCTAGGAGAATACAAGCCTTAATAAACAATACATATTTAGCAAGTTTGATGTCATTTTCATTTTTTCCCCTACTTTCACATGTCTTCTGTGTTGTAATCACCCTTTATGGTGACTCCTGGATTAAGCTTCATTTGAGAGGTATTCTGATTGAATAACTGAGGTGTTTGCTGTCAGCACACGTGGTGACTGCGGGAGGGTTTCACAGGATGCTGCAGAGGATGTTTAAGCTTCTCTGAATGTTGAACGTGTGTACAGTGCCCATCACTTGTGCTTTCCTTTCTCTTCATATGGTAGAAGAGCTGAAGGAGTTGGAAGTTGTGCTGTAGCCCTCAGGAGGAGGTAGTCACCGGGCTGAGAAAAGAACTTCCCAAATAGAAGTAAAGCTTTGAGTGGGTTTTTTTTATGGGACTTGGCTGCATTTCCCAGCTATAACTTTAGTAATTTGACTTTTTTAACTGACTTTTTGAAGCAATG